CGTCGAGCATATCACTTACTATACTGTTGATACCAAGACGATCAAAGAGTTCTTGGCGCCTCTGTCCGTCCTCCTGTAACGGGTGATAAAGAGGCGTGTCGGGTTCACCAGGGTTGGCATAGTCCCGGGCCGGTTGGTTGACAATGGCTTCGGAATTACAACTTGAAAAGCTTCCAAACAAGTCAGTCCACCTGAAGCTTCGTCCTCCCTCACCCGAACCCGATGGCATCATATTAAAAAATTCAGTATCCGTGTCGGAAAAAGTATTTTTAATATGAATCCAAGGGCCTGGGAGAGCCTTCCGGGTAACCCATTTTTTACTAAAAAAGAAAAAAGGGCGCGGGCACCCGCGACGGTTAATGCTTTAGAAAGCAAGGAATTTAATATATATATATTTCCCCCAAAAGTATTCCTACGAGGAATATCAGTGGGATTTTTTGACAAAGGCGGCCACTTCGCGATATTGTGTAAATTCCGGTTTTAAACTACCGTAGACTTGTTTCATAGCTTTCAACTGAGCGGCAGACCCGACGCGACTGACAGATAAGCCGACGTTAATAGCAGGTCTAATTTCGCGATAAAAGAGCTCTGTTTCCAAACAGATTTGTCCATCCGTAATGGAGATAACATTGGTGGGAATATAGGCCGATACGTCTCCAGCTTGTGTTTCAATGATGGGTAAGGCGGTCAAGCCACCTTCGCCTGTCTCGTCCGACCGTTTTGCGGCTCTTTCTAAGAGACGAGAATGTAAATAGAAAATATCGCCTGGGAAAGCCTCATGGCCTGGTGGTCGGCGTAACAATAATGACATTTGTCAATATGCCACAACCTGTTTACTAAGATCATCATAGATTATTAATGCGTGCATTCCATTATCACGGAAATATTCCCCCATGGCACACCCAGAATATGGGGCCAGAAATTTGCAGAGGTGTTGGATCTGAAGCGGTGGCTGCTACAAGAATGGAATATTCTAAAGCATTCGCTTCTGAAAGAATTTGAACTAATTGTGCCACAGTTTAGCGTTTCTGTCCAATCGCTACATAGACACAATACAATGTCTCACTCTCAAAGGTGGCCCTTGAGTTCATTTGCTTTTGGTTTAATATGGTATTGATAGCTATAGCTGTTTTTCCAGTTTGTCGGTCCCCAATTATAAGTTCTCGTTGACCACAACCTATAGGAACCAGGCTATCTACCGCTTTTAACCCAGTTTGCATAGGCTCGTGCACTAATTTACGTTCTATAATCCCAGGGGCTTTCACTTCGACACGTCTTCGCTTGTGATCGCTTAGAGCCCCTCTTCCATCAATAGGTACTCCCAACGCATCAACCATACGCCCTAGCATAGCCTTTCCAGCAGGAACATCCATAATAGATCTAGTACGTTTGATAAGATCTCCTTCTTTGATAGAGGTATCACTACAAAAGACAACAATTCCGACATTCTCATTCTCAAGATTCAACGCTATTCCTTTCACACCACTGGAAAATTCAACCAACTCCCCAGCTTGAATCTCGTTCAATCCATAAACACGTGCAACCCCATCTCCAACTGAGACCACTCGACCGATCTCATCCACTTGAAAATTTGTGTAAAAGTTGGTAATTCGACTTTCTAATAGAGTTGTTAGTTCCGCAGCTCTTATAGAGAATTCCAATTTTTTTTAAATGAATTTTACTGAAGTAATGCCGTAAAAGGGGAATCCATCAAGGTTTTTGGCTCGCAATAAAGCTAGGGTCTTGATCGAGCAACTAGCAGTCCTATCTATCCACCTCTCCAGACACAATATCTTGAGTACCTATGATGGTGACCACATCTGCTGGCATGTGATGTTTGGACATAGAATCGAGTCCTTGTGAATGGGAAGATCCAGGTGCTCTTATTTTACGATGGTAGGGACGATTTCTTCCATTACTGACCAGAAAGACACCAAATTCTCCTTTAGGTGCTTCAACTGAGGTATAGGTAGAAGGAGCTGGTACAGAAAAACCTTCTGTATAAAGTTCGAAATGGTGAATTGAGGTAGAGTAGACCGATGATCCTGTATTCATTTGGCCGGATATTTAAAGAAAAAGCTTGCATCTTCTCTCCCTATTCGTTAATCTAATAGGTCCGATCTCTCTCCAAACCTAACGTGATAGTTTCCCATCATAGGGATTTCTATCTATAGATTGAGCCATTACCAAGGAGCTAATTCGTTCAGAACTCAGTTGACTGCTTATATAGATAAGGCGGAGTGTCCTTGGCTCGGCATTATAGCACATAGGGATTCGGCGCTACTACGACGCTTCGAGTTAGCGAAGCGCTGTAGTAGCGCCTCGCTATGAGAATCTAGCTTCGCTAACGCTCGACTAAGTCTTGAACCTTCGCGCGTTCGCTTTATCAGTAGCAAAAGCGCTTCTCTTTGCCCCTTAAGTAGAAGGACAATAAAGATATTTTTTGTTTAATTGCTCCCGCTTCCTCGCATCTTCGCTCGTCAAGCCAACTTTCCTTTTTGGGAGGTTAAACTGCGGTTGAAGCGGACATTTCGAAATGACAGCTTCGAAGATTTATATATTATTATACGGTCACGGTTATCCCCGACTGCGTTCCAGAAAAAGTGGCCTACTTGAAATGAAAGAAAGGGCGAGCACTCTTGTGTTTCAACCCCACTATCACTATACTTTGAATTGTTGTGGGGCACTGTCTACTTACAGCCTCTATGATAAGCAAGTGAATAGGGCCGGTGCATGGCAAACGGAACGGTTCATCAAGCCATTTATCGGCTCAAACCCCTAAACTAAATAGGAAGAGGGGTACTTTACAAAAATGGGGTAATTTCTTCGCACCTGACTGTGATAACCCTCTTGATACCTTATTGCAGCTTTGTTAGTAGTGGCCGTGGCCGCTTTCCCATCGCTAGAGCCTTTTCCCAGTGCGCGGAGACCCAACGAGGAGGGTGTTAGTGGTTTATCATTGGGTCAATAATGCTAATCCCTCTTTTATTTTTGTGCTACTCCTAGGGCGGGAAGAAGATAAGAAAACACGAAGCGTTATATTGGTTTCCCAACTTGTTTCTTCTAAAGGTTGCCCTCTCTCGACTGGATGTTGGTCCAGCCTACTACGAGGATCCCGTATCCAACAACCCAATCTAAAAAACGGTAAAAAAAAAGCCTTGTCTAGGTTGGAGCTATGAAGCTCACCTTATTATGATGTATGAAAAGGCCTTTCCTTCACGGGCTTACTTAGTGCTTGTGCTAAGGAGCAATAAAACGGATGCGCTAAGGTTGACGCTCGACCCAAACAAGCAACAACGAGCCCCTATCAAAGAAAGCCTTGGTCAAGCGCGCTAGCACGCTTTACTTGGAGGTTCGCGCATCCTCTTGCTGGGAGAGGGGCTAATGCCACTCGACTGGTTGGAGAGGGGTGAAGTGAGAGTCAGGGGAATGGGCTTTTTCAGCTGGTGCGCTAACACGCACTTCCGTTTTCCCTTTACTAGTAGGGGGTCCCGTGGTTCCTATGCCGCCGCGTTTCCCGATCCTTTTCTTTTAGTGCTTCGACCTGAAGCGATAGCTTCTAGCTAGTTTAGTAGATAAGATGGCTGCGCTCCAGCTCACTCAAGAATGGGACGACAATGGTCCACTGGCAAGCTCGTTCTGATCTTGGACACAGTACATTGGAATCCTGAAGCACCACCACAAACGCTACCGCGCATTCGCCTGCGTGCGGTAAGGCACCACCCTGTTGTGCCAGCAGCCAACTCCGGCGTGTCAGCTTAGTTATCCTCATCAAGCCACTTACTTGATGTCTAGCTTGCCAACTGGTAGACGATTCCTTTTCCCCCAGATCAATGAAGAAAGGATAAGTCAGTTTATTCTTCCGAATAACGGGAAGTGAAACGCTATGCCGAGGCGGGGGGACGGGAAAAGAAACGGCTCCGAAGAAAGAAATTGAGATTCCCAATGCTTCTCCACGCCCAACGAGATGCGCCAACCTCGGGATGCTTTACTCCTAACCCCACTAGGTTTCAAGATGGAGCTTAACCTGAGTCTCGGTTAAGAACGACGATGATCTAGGAAGGGTAGGAGCTATCCAGTAGAATGCTAGGAGACAAACTTTAGACCCAGACGTGGGTGGGCTTTTTTCTAAGGAAAAAGTATGACCTTAATCTACTTTCTCGGGTATCTAGCTTACGGAAGACAAGGTATTGAAGTTCTATAGATGAACTAGCATAACAAACATGCTTGAATTTATAAAGGCAAGACAACTCTGAATCACTCATTTAATACAAAGCAACTTTTGCCCTATCCTGACCTGACGGGAAGGGAACTTCTGAAGAAGACTGACCTGTGCTCTTCCTGTAAATCTGACCTTACAATAACTTTCTTAAAGCTTTTTGGCTTATTTATCTCCAACTGTTTTTGTATTCGTATCTGGTAATTCTCTTTCTAGTGGATCAAGATATTCGAGGCTAATCCACTCTTCCTTGAAACTTGGAAATCGCCCTTTATTCAAATGAAAACTTTTTTTACTTATAAATGAGTTGCTTCTCGACTCGACTGACTCATACTCCTCTCCTATCTTTTTAAGAGCTGCCATGGGCATTTATTTACCTTGGATGCTATAAGAATGGGCTGGCTCTTGCCCCATTCAAAAGGATTAAAATGGAAAAATCCATTAAGAGTATCATTTGTCACTTCTCTTTATTTCCCACCCACCTACCTATCATCTATCAGTCTCCTGAAGCTCCCCCACGCTAATCCCGCTCGTTGGTATCTGTGAGTCTAGATCTTAGCTTATCTTATACTCTCTATACTTCGCATTTCCTTGAGCCTTTCTACTTATAGACCAGGACTGCTATTTGTTTCATATCTGAAATGAAATGAAATAAAAGGTAAGTAAGGGATTCCTCGATACCGATCTATGAAACCCCGAATGAAAGGCACTGCATCAGGTCAGAAAGAAGCGCTGATCCACTTATACTCGCTAGGGGTTACTCTATCACACGGATCCTAGCTTATCTCACTTCTTCCTTGAAGGTCCCCTTACTCTTCTCTCTTAAAGCTGTTCGAATCCTCAGCCTGTCCTTGATTAGCTTCCTATCACCTACGCCTCCTCCCAGGAAGTAACTATTCTTTCCTTTCTCCAGGCTCCTGAAGCTTTTGCATTTTTCAAAGGCCTTCACTCGATCTTCATTCTACTATAAGAACTCGAACCTGAGTCCATTCCCCTTCTGGTCGAGTTCGTTTATTCGTTTTTTCAAAACTCACACTTCGTACATGAACATGAATAGGCATCGCTCTTTTTCCCAACGTAAGCCCAGGCTTGCTATCATCCAGTTGTGGCTTTTCCCCCCATTCATTCTCAAGTGCTATAGCTTGTTCGCTAAATTCCTTCCCGATACCCCTTCATCACGTCTTGGGCAACCAAAACCCTAGCCTTGAAATATTTTTTCACTTCCCCGGACGAATGGATTCAATCTCTTTTCAGGTTCTGTGAGGACAGTCCTTACTATCCTAGTTGCGCTTCCTTTTCATATCCCGCTTTAAAGCAACTACACTCGCTCATTAGCCTGTCTGGATCTCGACCTGCTTCAGTATCTAAAACACTTTTTTTTACTCTTGCATCCACTATACTTCATTCTGCTACCTTCTGATGTACTACCAAACCGACAACTAACCTTGCTTTTCTACCTTATCAGTAACAGCTATATTCAGAGACTTTACCTGAATAAAACGAAGACCTATAACTACTAGGATTCCTAGCTTCCAACTTTCTAAAATTTTCGTTATTTTTTGAAAACCTTGGCAGGATCATAGCTATCCTCCCTCCTATCTTCTTGACTCCTTATAAGCTATTCTCTTACTTTACCTGCTTGGCATGGCAAGCTAATATTAACTCTGAGTGCTTATTGCTTCCTTTTTATTTCTTTACTCTATAGGAATAAACCAAATAGAAAGATTATCATAGATAGTGTCAAGTTCTCTAACGAGCTGTCGTAATTTTGAATTCCCCACCCCCCCAACGTCTTTCCCTCTATAGGGATAAAAAAATAAGCCTATAGGAGATAAACTCATCCCCATAAATCCCATTTGCCTGGCTCTCTCACAATGAGAACCAACATTTGCGATTCTCATCCGATAGAGAGAGGGATTAAAGTACACAGAAATGGTAAATCTTTATCAAAGCAATCTGGACTAGCTCTTGGTTCGGGCATCATCCCGTTAAGGACATGTTTTCTTATCTCCATAGTCGAGTTTCCCCAATTCCAATACCTTGGGAAGGCATCACTTATGCTAGAAGGCTTCACAACCCTCCTTACTAGCAGCCCAAATCAGTTTTGTGCTCGGCTTGATGCCATCTCAGATGTCCATTCAAGTAGCCTGCCTACCCTATTTTCTCTTAGAGAGGGGGCCTAGCGTGCCAATTATTTTTCTACAACTACTGTGATTTCCACTGCTTCTCCTTCTTTTGCTACCTTGCGAAAGTCTTACTGCTAATGTCCTAAGCTAAGCCCCTAAGGCCTAAACGGGGAAGGAGGAAGAATAGCGTTCTAGTGCCCTATTTGTCTAATATCGAAAATTCCCCCAATAATTCGTATTCGTAGCGTCCAATTCCATTCCTGACTAGCGGACAGAAAGAAAGAATTCCTCCTGCTCTACAATTAACTGTTCCGTTTAAGTAAGGAAGTGAACTCGTTAGAACAGCCAGAAGGGCAGAGCTCTATGTTCTATTGAAAGTTGTCTCAAAAGAGCATCAAATCCTGAAAGCAAGACTTAAAGTCCATGTGTTGCGCATGATTAGGGATTAGACTTAGGGCAAGAAGGGCTTAAAGCCCTAAGTAAAGGAACTTCATTTCTCGCCGATTGTACGTCCTTTCAATTTCAACTGATTTTGGACATTAAACTGAATGCACTCGTTAGGTTTAACCAAAGGCTGAGAAAGAGCTTGTGAGTGAGGAATGGGGCTCTCTATGAACAGAATCCGCAACTATCTTGCTTTAATCTAGCTACTCCCAAACAAAGGTATTTTGCACACTATACGGTATGGCTACAAACCGAATAAGTCGGAAGTAGTTCATCGCCTGCGGGAGCTTGCTGATAGTGAGGAAGCCATAATCTCTCTATCGGATTGCCTATTTGTCTATATGTCTGGTGAAGAGAGAATGGAAGAGACTCTCAATAGGGAAAGCACCCAAGACCTCGTCGAGTCCAAAGCTCCTGCTCAAGCAGTTCAATCCAATTGAATTGAGTACCTAGGACTGTGGAATGCTTCTTATATGTTATTTTATTATAAGAGGAACTCAAAGTAAAAACTAGACTTTGTCTTGCGCACACTGACTTCAATCGTATAGAGATTTCCCACTGTCTAAGTCGATACCAGAAACTACGACTGAAACCTACACCGCTAACGAAGTTCAAGTGATTGCCTACTTTCTATGTCCGGAGACGCTTACTGCACTGCTTCTTCTGTCAAGACAGGCAGACGGTTATCAGGATGTAGTTAAGGAGGTAGGCTTAGAGCCAGCAATCAAGCTAGCAGAGTATACCGCGAGCGAGTAGCCTTTGCCAAAGAAGGGACATGCTGACTTAGAGTAGCGAAAGGTGAGCGGGCTATAGTTACCAGTTTCGAGTTACTTAGCTGGTATTCCCCAGCACGACTTATGCGGATCTCTCTCTACTACTAGGGAACGGGTTAGAATCCATGAGCACTACAGGCCTAACTTATTATTCGATATAATGAGAAGCACCTTTATTGAACTAAAACCCTTATCCCCCAACTGATCTACCCAGTAATGTGATGAGTTCCGACCTCGAAGGCCCAATCCTTCGTCGTACGGAATGAGTATGACTTGGCTACAAGGGAAACAAAGCGCCCAAGAGATCTAGCTTCTTTGAGGACCTATTGCTAGCCCCATCATCATCCCGAGCTTTTCACCGTCGGTCCCATGACTGCACGAGCCCTATGAACTAGCTCTTCTGTGTCCTCCGAACTTTACGATGGAGGGCGTTCCATTTGAGTATTTAATTTTCCAAACCCCGGGTGAGCACCGTCAATGTCTCTAGTAGATAGACTCTACAAGGAACCTGGCTCAGAGGAAGAAGGACATTAGTTTGAAGTCTCGAGTCTCTATCCCCTCTCTAGTGCTGCTTACAAGGACCGGTTTCCCAACTACCGTGTCATGGTGATATCTGCATCGAAACCCTCGGCTTGCTTCGTCTCCTAGTGGTGGTTTCCCATGGAGCGACCGTGAGTCAGGTGGAGTAGCCCTATAGTTAGTATACTTCCCCTCAGCCTCTCAACTCATACAGAGGGAGGGGAAAGAGACTGATGCTACTACCAATACCAGGTACCGGGTGAATCATACATATCTAGATGGAAGCCTTATCCTCATTTCAAGTCGAATCCTTGGCTTGGCACCTTTAGTTCTCGAGATATCCACTTGGTGATTAAATGTGAATTTGTTGTTTTCAACTAGAAATAGAACTGGAACGAGAACCTCCATCTAGACCTAGACCTGACACCCGCATACCGCATATGCCAGTGGTTGTGGTACAGGTAGTTGTTTGTGTCTTGAATCGACAGTGAGGGCTGTAGCTCGGGGAAGGTTTGCCTGTAATCGATGGCAGAACGACTGGATCCTCCCTTTCTGTTAGCCCAATCCTCTTTATGATCCCAGTTGGTACTAATCTTATATCGGGTGAATTCTATGTTCAACAAATAGTTGAGCGATGGAAGGACAAAGGAACTGAATAAGAACAAGCAAGACAAAGGGATATGACAAAAAAAAAAGCCTTCTCACGAGCTGGAGTCGAACCAGCACCTCTGGGATCAAAATACAGGCCCAGCGAACTACCTTTCATTCTTATCGTGACTTTCAAAAAGAAAGAAGAGAAAGAAATGGGAGTTGGCGCCTACATAACAGGTTGCTTGCTTACCAAGCCATCCCGGCTTTTAGCTCCTGCAGTTCTATTATTATTTATTCTTATTTATTGACTTATTATAATAAATACTACTAACTATCAAAATTAAAGACGATCGATTATCTACCCAAGAAGATAGAGAGTCCCACATATGAGAAAAGATCACAAATAGAGTTGAACCAAGTAACATTGCAAAGGCATAATGATAGTAGGGTCGGGATATCCCCGCCCCCCGAACCGGACGTGAAGGTTTCCCCTCATCCGGCTCTCTGCAGGGGAATCTCCACTCACTGCTTCCCCTAATATCCTCCCTTTACCACATCATGGGGGTTTACAGGAGAACCCAGAGGCTCGCTCGGAAAGGCTGCTATACCATACCTTTTGACTCAACTCTACTCTAGTAGTCACAGGACTCACTATAGTAGTCCGTTCGGCTGCTCTTGCTGAAATCATTACTCTTCATTCTCCCGTGCTCTAGCAATTGCGCTCCCTAGACCACTACCATGTAGTTAGGTAGAGACAATCAATCCGTAGTGACGGGAATCTGGGGATCCCTATCAATAGAAAAAATGAATAATATATCTATAGAGAAGCTACCTTTCTCTCACTCAATAGATGTATCTGGTACGGCACAGTACAATACGAGACGATGGAATGCAATGGGATGGATGGTAGAGGGATGCCTGCACCCAAAAGCGATGATTAACTTGTCCCCTTGTCCATAGGGACCTCGTGGCATACAACCGAAACGACTCCCTCTATATAGCCGCCCCTCTATCTTTTTACAGCCTCGTGGACGGACTAAAGAAGGGAAGTTACAGAACGGGGCAGTGAAGATAAGTAGACATCAAGATTTTCTTAGCCCCCTAACCTTTCTATTATTATTATAACGCTAGCACGCCCCTATCTCTAATCTAAAGGGGCGTAAGCACTTCACTCGCTAGGGGATGGGATTCATTCACTTGCATTCCTGCTAGCACTACAAAAAGCTCCGGTCTTCACGCCCTTACTACTGCTGTGCAGCCTTTCCTCGGGTTCGTAGAGTCGGGTTTCCCGTTTACCTACAACGGAGGACCCCACCAGACCAGGCAGGCGGCCACGGGTCATAACGCACTCTTCGCACAACAAATCCACTTTGAAGTTGACTTATCCACTCGGCCAATCGTCGGAATATGTAAAATATACCATAAGGGCCCAATATCTCAATAGCACCTTTGTCTAAAGCTTCGAATGAGACTTCATATCCGAAACGCAGGAACGATCTGACTAGAAAGTCATTCAAAACTTGATCGAAGAACCAGCGTTTATTGAAGAAGCTATAAAGTCGATTACAAAAAGTACTTGTTTGAAAGGCTCATTGGAATTGATCTGCTACGGGATTTACATTATACGCAACAGAAGCACCTGAAGTACTAAATAAAATAGGTATAAGTTTGGT